CCAAGCCAGAATGGGTCTAGGGTCTAGGGGCAGCCCTCCCATGGAGTAGTGCTCTATTTCTAGTCTGCGGCCCAATAGATACTCTCACCAAAGCTTGAGAAAGAATCATAACTAGACCCGGGAGTAACCTAGGAATAAAAGGGGTGCCCTTTTTTGGCTTTAAGGGGATTACAAGGGAACCCCAACCGTAAGAAAAAAAGGCAAAAAGGGCCTACTCCCGGTCCTAGTACATAAGAAAAAACATATACCCTAATTAAACTCAATGTCCCAGAGGCCATTGACCATCTCCATGGCAATGTAAAGGCTGCGTGCGTCCTTCAACGGGGTCCCAAAGTTCAACCCCGAGCGCGTTACGGGCGGGACCCGGGAGGTACAAAACCCTAAACCCTATAAACCCTAAACCCTAAACCCTAAACAGGCCCAATTAGGGTGAGGAATTTGGAGTCTTCAGGCAAGGACGTCTTGGCTTGGCTTGAAGCTCCCACATCACCCACACGAACCAACCTACGCTCGCAGAGCCAAAGGGGGAAAATGCTTAGGGTCTACGGTTTAGGGTTTAGGGTTTAGGGTTTAGGGTTTAGGGTTTGCATCCCAAACTCTAAGCCCTGCAAACTCTGAAGCCTAAACGTGCGGGGCTTCCACCTAAAGACTCGAGAAGCCAAGAGGCCCTGAACACCATGACTTTCTCCCAAGTTATTCGTTTCGGGTTTTCGGTTTAGGGTATTTAGGGTTTAGGGTTTAGGGTTTAGGGTTTAGGGTTTAGGGTTTAGGGTTTAGGGTTTAGGGATATCTCCAACCTTCCCCTGACCCTCTTGCTTCGGCACCTGTCTGTGCCCTTGCAGTCTGTTCCCGTGCTCTGTGAGAGACAGACATTCCCCCTTAAACTAAAACCCACCTAAGGGTTCCTGTGTAGTCCCTGTTTTAGGGTAGTATACTATCTTTAGGGTTTAGGGTTTAGGGTTTAGGATTTAGGGTTTAGGGTTTAGGGTTTAGCGTTCCTTATAACATAACCCCAAACAAAACTACATTAGGAGCGATCAGGCAAACCCTAAACCCTGAACCCTGCTTGGTGGTTCATGGGTAGATATAAGTAGGGTTAATGTACCGTACATAAGGATAGTTACTTACTGATGTACTACTTATAACCCTGAACCTTAAACCTTGAACCCTAGACTACACCACACACAGACCCGCGTGCGCAATCTGTACCTCAATTGTCCCTTGGCATGTCACCATTCAAGAGTGGCTTGACCAGTATGACTTCATGAGCAGTCAGGTCCAAGCTGGCCTTGACAAAATTTAGTTCTTGAAGATGCAACTTTCATGAATCGGTTTCACTTATAAACGAACCCACTCTATAAACCCCTAAACCCTAAGCCCTTTTAAACCTTAAACTTTAACCCAGGACCCATCCGAGGAGCTTTGTGTTCTCAACCTCGGGGGGGGGGCACAAGGCCCCCGAAACGTCATGATTGCACTTGAGGCAACCGTGTAGATGCAGGAAACCCAGGCGTTGTGCATCTGGCTGCAGAAAAGCTTCAGGAAAACCATCTGTGCTCCGCACTATGTGGCAAGAGGCAGGCAGAATTAGCAATTCGCATTGCCCCGTTGGGCAACGAGCTCCTGGACGTGTCAAGACGCAAGCCCGGTTGGGCCGAAACGGAAAAAAGGGTCCAGGAGCCTGTGTCTGTGGCCTTTTGTAGCACAATCTAACAAAGACCTCTGGAAGGCGTGCAAGCTTCCCACAAGGCTCCAGTGCGCATTTTGCACAGGGACCTGAAGAAACCAACATCGAACATCAAGGTTGAGGGTTTAGGGTTTAGGGTTTAGGGCTAAGGGCTTAGGGCCGGCCTTGCAAAGACTCCAACTAGGTTCACCAGCAACCACGCATCAAAAGGCTGCCCAACAGCCCTGAAGCAAAGTCCCCCAAATGGGTTTAGGGTTTAGGGTTTAGGGTTTAGGGTTTAGGGTTTAGGGTTTAGGGTTTAGGGTATACCGTACAGTAATAGAATTCCTACTAAGGGATGTGAACCAGAATCCCTTTGAGGGTTCATTTGGTCCCCACTTTTCCGCAGAAGACCCAAACGGCTTTCTTCAGGACATAGCCTCATATTCGTCATTTCCGGGGTGTTCAGCCTTTTGCCGGTTTTGCTTCGTTACTACATGTTTGATCTTGCCGCTTTGCTTTTAGAGACGCTGTCAAGCCCTAAACCCTAAACCCTGAACCCTAAACCTGCGATGAAGGGGAGAAAGGCAAGAAGCGCACCACTGGGCATAGACAGACCAGAGGGGAAGTCGAGCTGCCTCTACGGAAGATACACTACAAGCCCTCAAAGCCCTAAAGCCCTAAAGGGTTCAGGGTTCAGGGCCCTAACACCCTGACATCATAAAGCCCTAAACCCCTAAACTTTGGCCCTAAAGGTTCAGGGTTGAGGGCCCTAACACCCTGCAATCATAAAGCCCTAAACCCCTAAACTTTGGCCCTAAAGCCCTAAACCCTAAACCCTAAACTCTTGAGCGTCCCTTGGTCTCCCATACCTGCAGCAACTGGATCCTGCGCAAAGCATTCGCTTCGCGGGAAGCTGTGGTGAGTCAGCAAGTGCCGGCTGGTTTGAGGGTTGAAAAGGTGGAACTTGGGTTTAAAAAGCCCTACTTGGGGTTTAAAAGGTGGAATTTGGGTTTAAAAACAATCCCTACTTGGGGTTTAGGGTTGAGGGTTTAAGGTGGAATTTGGGCTTTAAAAATCCCTACTTGGGGGTTTAGGGTTGAGGGTTTCAGGTGGAATTTGGGTTCAAAACACCCCTACTTGGGGGTTAGGGTTGAGGGTTTAAGGTGGAAATTTGGGTTAAAAAAATCCCTACTTGGGGGTTAGGGTTGAGGGTTTAAGGTGGAAATTTGGGCTTAAAAAAAACCCTACTTGGGGGTTAGGGTTGAGGAGTCCAGGGTGCAGGGTCTAGGGTTTAGCTCCGTAGCCCCGTAAGCAGGGTTAAACAGCTTGGGCGCCCTCTTCTGGCTCAATGGGACTAGTAAGGGAACCTGACCCCCAAAAAAGAGACTACTAAGGATAGTGGTTTGGCTCAGGCTCTAAAAGCCCCCCCCAAGACCTACACCCCGAACCCTAAACCCTAAACCCTAAACCCTAAACCCTAGACAAAAAAACCCCAAAACTCAACCCCCCAACCATCCAAAGCCGCACTGCAGAAGCCTTGCTTCCGTCCCTTTATGCCTAAAAGGGGCAAAACCAGGTGAACCCGCAGTAGTAGGAGTAGGAGTAGGAGTAGGAGTAGGAGTAGGAGTAGGAGTAGGAGTAGGAGTAGGAGTAGGAGTAGGAGTCGTAGTTGTGATAGTAGTAGTAGTAGTAGTAGTAGTAGTAGTAGTAGTAGAAGTAGTAGTAGAAGTAGTAGTAGAAGTATTAAAGAAAAATAGTGAGAATCGTACCCTATAAGGGTCCATGTACCTAGATAGTATATACTTGGGCCTTCAAGGGGTTCCCACATCGTAGCCAAAGGCCCAAGTATATACTACATAGGTACCCTCAGGGGCAATTAGAGCACTGATATTATGAAAAAAAAACAAAACACAAGTGAATCCTAAAGTCATCCTCCAGTTTTTGAGTCCGGCGTTTCTAGGGTTTAGGGTTTAGGGTTCAGGGTGTAGGGTGTAGGGCTTAAGATTTCGTTCGGTTGTCTGGTTCTTCCTTCCCAGGGGGTTCAGGATTTGGGCGCAAAGCGCATGGCCCTGCATCCTTCCTCGGCTTATACTCCTTGCCTTGTTCTGCAATGCCCAGAATTAAACTTGAACAGACAAAAAACGGACACAAGCTGGCCAAAAAGACATCGGGTATTCCTGTCTGGGGGCGTTTCTCAAGGTAATAGATAACTTGAGTCTTGAGCTGTTAAGTTGAGGTTCTTATCACCCACCTTTACAACTGCCGGCAACTTGCCCTCCAAAAATCAAGAACTTGCCTCGCCCTCCGCCAGGCTGCGACGCGATCGAACATGCCAAAGGCTTAGCAACCCCAAACCCTAAACCCTAAGCCCCAAACCCTAAACCCTAAACCCTAAACAGCCCATGTATTGGCATTTAAGGGTTTAGGGTTCAGGGTTTTAAGGGTTACCCCTTAAACGCCCAGTTTCCCAAAATAAGTGGCGACTGTACCCCCAAAATAGGAGAATGTAGCCCAAAAGTGGGGGGGGGGGGGGGGGGGGCGTATCTCAGGTTCCTATTGCAAACCACTCGTCAAGGTCTAGGGTTTAGGGTTTAAGGTTTAGGGCATAGGGTTTAGGGTTTAGGGTTTAGGGTTTGGGGTTTAGGGTTTAGGGTTTAGGGTTTAGGGCACGGCGCAGCTGCAGACCCCCGTACCTGGACTCTAACCTTGAGCTTCCTTGGAAGGAAGTGCTGAAAACGTACGCCCCTGACTCACGTGAGTTACCCTCCTCCCAGAGAATTCTAGGAGTGTTTTGGAAGCTACCCTCCTCTAAGAGAGTTCTAGGAGTGTTCTAGATGTCCACACTACACCCTCAACCCTAAACCCTAAACCCTACACCCTAACTCTTTGTTTCGGGCCTCTGGGCGCGCCTTTCAAGCCGTGTTGCAGCGCAGGGCACCGTCTCAGGCACCCACCGAAGGCGAGGCTTTCAAGATGGGATTGACAAAACCGGCAATAGGGAGAGGATTTTCAGGATGTTCGCCTAAGGGTGCTTAAAAAAGGGCCCTTGATATGGCCCCTTATACTGCCTCTGAAGTATGGGCCCGTTTTTAAGGGCCCATACGAAGCGACCATGTAACTAGAGAACCCTAAACCCTAAACCCTAAACCCTAAACCCAGGCGTATCGGCTTTCAGCCTTCGCTGCAAGACATGGTGGGTTTCGCTTTCAGTTTGCACAGTCAATTCTCTGCCAGGCAGGGACCACTTCGCATGATGGTTTCAGCCGCGGCCTTTTTTTCGGGGTTTTGCCTTGTAGCCTCAAGGGCTACTACGCCACCCCAGTTTCGAGCCATGACGGATGGCACAGGGGCCGCAGAGAGCCTCATGGAGGCCAGGCGCGTTTACAGCGAGCAGGCCACCTTGGTACAGGGCCCAGCGTACGCCGCCTCACAGCAGTTGTTCTTCGAGCAGCGCAGGGTTGCCAAGCGCGGCCCCCCGACACCGGCCTTTTCCTCAACGGGGCTGGCCACCCCAACCGGAGACACCTTTGGCCCAACGGCCCCAACCGCCTCAGGGAGTACTCCGCCGGCAAAGCAAGACACTGGTCTTTTCCAGCCCATGCACTACCAGCAGGAGACGGCCTTTGTAGCCACAGCCCACTCCGCCGGTGTCAACGCAAACAACCCGACAGATATGGCCCTATGGATGAAGGAAACGATTTCCACCAGGGCTTGCAAATTTGATCAACCAAGTTGAGGCAGCATTGGTCTCGCTGGACGATAGACTACTACGCCAATCCAAGGAGTTAGCCTGGATGGCTTCAGAGAACAGAGCCCTCCAAAAGCAAAGTGCTGCACTCATGGTCATTTTGACCGGCTGGGATACGAGCATGTCGCCCTCCGAACGGCTCTTCATGGTCAATTGGATGCTCGAGCAGATCACCCACGTCCAGGCCTTCTTGCAGCAGAGGGGGTGGGCCAACTTCGACGGCGAGTACAAGTACCTCAATGTCCTCTCTGCAGACCCGTCTACTCCGCCGGCAGGGGCACAGAAGTGGAGCTCGGTAACGCTACTCAGCTTCAAATCCTGGGACCTGAGAAAGGCGTTCATGGAGGCATATGGTGGCACTCAGGGTACCCCACTGTACAAGGATGCGCGCACTCCAGTACCTCGCCACCATATCAGGGCTACACCTTCGAGCCCCCAATTCCAACGAAAGTTGGAAATTCCAATCCGAGTACTCCTCCAAGCCCTCAACCTCAAGGAGGAGACCGAGCCCCGCCAGGTGGTGATCTTGTGGAAGACGCTCACGGTGATGTCGCCCCAAATGGCGCGCGGCTTTGATGAGCAAGCCACCGCCTGCGCTCGCCTCCACTACTACGCCGAGGGGGAGCAGTTCAAAGGCATCCTCGAGATCACAAAGGTCATCTCCGACTGGCTTGCAACCACTCCGCCCGATGAGTTGATGACAGAGGAGGACACGATTTGGTCCTACAGCTGGAACAAGATCGTCTTCGGGGTCCAGCAGGAGATGGATGCAGCAGAGCGCGACCACTTCGCCAACGCCAAGGCTGCAGCAAAGGGCACGGGCAAGGGGATGCTTGCTGGAAAGGGGTCCCGTCACTGGACGGCCCCGATGATCTACTCCGCCAGCTCGACGCCGTACCCGATCGACCTCGAGATCAGATTGGTGTCCCAAGTGGCCTACGTTTGGGATGAGTATTGTGATAAGTTTGGCGAAAACAGCCGCAAATGCGGCGACTACCGCCAGGCTACTTTTTCCGGAGCCCCGGTTGCGGCTACTCCGCTTCTCACGGCCCCCACGGCCTGAAGGGTTCCGGCTCGAATTAGCGATCTAGCCAGGGAGGTACGTACCTCTTTTTATCTCCAGGCTACTGCGCCGCTCCCCCACAATTTCAAGGTACTCCTCGAAGGCAACTTCGCATTTGAAACTTTCTTAAAGGAATTGCTTCGAGATGTTTTAAGTCAGGGGTTGAGCAGGCCTTCCACACACAACCACCCCGCCCCCCATATGATAAGACTTTACCCTTTCAGAGTTTCCAGGTTTTTGGGTGCCCCGGGTGTTGCACGATCGCGGTCGCACGCTGAGTTTGTAGAGGTCGCCACACAAACCCTCACAGCTAAAGACCTGCAGTGGGATATGAGGGTTGTTCGTAGAAGCCGAAAGAGACCCAATAAACTCCCAACTAATCCTCACCTTCAGGCTTCATGCACCTACATTATCATCGCCTTCTTATGCGTCTTTTACTACACCTCAACCACTAGATCCTCTTTCCCCATTGTCCTTATGGATTCTCTGGTAGTTCATTCTACAATATGTTCACTTTTCAAGTATGGGATAAGCCAGTGGGAGCTTCTGCAACAGCTACTCCGCAACAAATTACAACACATCAAAAACGGGAACACAACAACATTACAGCTAGATCTTCTAATTCCCCCCAAGTACACTGAGTACCCTCAACCCACTATGGAGTACAGCTTCATTCATCAAGCCAAACTTAGCCGTGATTTTCTCCTTTCCCAACGACCCATTAGCCCCCCAAAGCTTCCCGAAAATTCCCCTTTCCCTCAACTCACTCCCAGACCCAAAATAAGAACGGGTAGGCGAGTCTCTTTTCGTTTCACAGATGGTCGTAAGGTAAACTACACCCGAAGACCACTCCGCCATTTTTCGGCCAGCCGGCCCTTCCGCCCACCAACGAATTCACAGAAGGATAGGCCAACACCGCCTCCACGAGGCACGCCGGGACCCGGGCAACCGGGAGACGAAGAGTGTATCACCCCTCCCCCCCCTTCTTCAGTCCACCCTCTAGGTTTGGGTGCCCGCTCTAGACGCCTTCGACGGCAGCTTTTCCGCCGTTGGCGCAGGAGCGTGGGTGGGCCTATATTACCAGAAGCGTCGGGCAGCGCACTGGTAAAAGGGGGGGTGCCCTTGAAAGCAGTCAAAAGTAGGCGCCAAACCGGGGTACGAAATTCGTACCTTTTCAAAACCCTCATACTAAGGCCTGAACAAATCGGCAAGCAAAAAAAGGCTACTCCGCCAGCAGTAGCCCCACCACCCTTGCCGTATGGACAACCTTTTAAAATAGGTACACAAAATGTACAGGGAATGGCCGAAATACTAAAACACCAGTCAGTCCTCACTTTACTCCGTAGTAGAAAGCTTGACGTCCTTTTCCTCACCGAAACACGCAACACAACATACCACCAATTCACCTCAGAGGGGCACAGGTTCATTAGCAATGGCAGTAACAAGGACAAGTTCGCAGGAGTGACAGCAATCATTCCCCCCCAAACTCTACCACACCTCAAAGATGTAGTTCAGCATAGTGCGAGGATCCTTCAAATCACACTAGCAGCATCGGCCGGAGATGTTCACCTCATAGGAGTCTACTCCCCACACAATAAACGAGATGTTGAAACTAGCAAGCTCCCCTTCTGGGATAAGCTAGACTCGGTATTGCACAAAATTCCTCAACCAGAGCCGGTTTATATCATAGGGGACTTCAATGTGAGACTACAAGGTAGAAAACCAGATGAACATCACATGTTGGGCCCCAATGTATATGGTAAGGGAAGACTCAGTATACCAACCACAGAAGGTAACAACAGAGAGCTCTATCTGAGATTCCTGAGTACCTCTGAAGCTAAGGATGTTCTAACCTACAAGCAGAGTAACCTTCTGAAGCACATCACATACCGAGATAAATCCCCTCCCCCATTAGATTGGCTCACGTTCTCTAATGTATGCCCGCACTGTGTGCACGGCCACCTCGGCACCAGCAGGGACAGCGACTCCCATCTGCACCGGCCAAAAGAAGGACTTCGCGTCGTCTTTGACCTTGGTGAGGAGGCACTTGCCGGTGAGGCGGCGCAGCACTTCACCAATGGCAATTGGCCGAACCCCGCCTTTGGGCTTCGGTACGGCCACCAAGGCTGCACCGGCCAAGAAAGGCGCAATGTCAGCACAGGCCTGGCCTTGCGCCAGCAGATTGACAACGGCGGTGAGCTGCTCCAGGACGTTGTCCGCACTTCCAGGTACACAGGCATCCAGTAGGTGCTGCACTCGCAGACCCGAAGGGCCCGGGGACGTACCGGCAGGGAAAGCCCGCAAAGCTTTCAAGATGACGTCGGCCTCCAAGTCCGGAGCTGGTGGCAGACTTTGCAGCTGAGGAGTCTGTGGGGCTGGCTGTGCAGGGTGGAGGGCACGGAGGGCCTCAGCAGTTTCCGCAGTCTGCGAGCAAAGCCCCTGAGACAGCAAAGCAGTGCACGCCTTGCGCTCGTAGCCTTCTCGCACAAGGGCCGTGGCAAATTCCCGCCTATCAGCAGGAGAAGTTTGGCGCTTGTCACGCACCGGCGGCTCGTGCCGTGTTTCCCACAGCCCTTGCCTTTCCCCTTCCAGCCAGCGGTGGAGGCGGTCACGAGTATAGGCCGCCACCGCTTTGCGGTGTTTGCGACCGCTCCTTGGCGGGGCACCCAGCACGCAGCGGGGAAGCATAAGAAGCTCCCGCCATGCCTCCGCAGTGTTGCGGTGCCCAGCAGCAGCAAGCGCTCGAGTCAGGGCTTTGGACCATGCCGGGCGGGCAGCAGCAGGCACATGCCGCAAAGTGGGCGTGCGCGCAGAGCGGATTTCCTCAAGCGATGGCGGCGTCCACTGCCCAGCGGCGCCAACAGGCACATCACCGGGGCGTGGTCCCGCGGCATCCCGGGCAGCCGGCCGGCAAGTGGGATGGACGCCGTGCTTCACCGACACACTGAGGCCGCACACGGCACATCTCTGGCGGTTCTGGGCCTGGAGCCAAGCAACAGGCACCTCCCCGTCCAATGAACCGGCCAAGTGGGCATCGATGTGAGATCGGATGGTGATGTGGTTGGCCCAGCCAGCAGTCCGCGCAGGATCACTGCAAGGGCACCCTGCAACTGGGCAGTAAACTCGAGGAGCGGGTGCAGGGTCAACATCCATTGGACTGGCCGGCGGCTGTCTTCGAGGAGAGCGTGGCGATGTGCTCCGTTGGCGGGCACCGGCTCGGACAATGGCGGGGTGGATTGGGGTGCCAGGAGAACCCGGTCCCGGTTTGGACGCCTCACCAACTCGCAGACCAAGCCAACCGCATCTGTGCCGGACTCGCCTGCCCCTGTTGCACCAACAGCGGCGCTGGGCCTCGAAGAGCCTTCTGCAGCGGCGCCACTTGATGGCAGGGCGCGGCGTGTGCCAAAGTCCCCCACACAAGTTCCCATCGACTTCGAATGCCTGTGCAGACCAAGCTTCATTCAGGGCCGCCGTCATGGCAAGCCTGGCTCGCCGACCAAGGCGGCCGTACCGAGCACCGGAGTCACCCCCCCCATACAAGTCAATCTCGGGAGGCAAAATGGGCGAGGGCCATCGCCAAAGCAAGGCAGCGGAGAGCTGCACAATGAGGCGGCCGGGGAGGCCCCAATTTCCAGGAGAGGGCGCCATAGCGGCAGTTTGGGGAGTGGTCAATATCCAAAGACACACGGTTTGGCGACCTCTTACGCACTGCGCCAACGCGCGCGCCGAGTATTTTCCCTATGTACAGCAAGCATGTTGGAAGCGCATGGCAGCCCTAAAAAAAAAACCCTAAACCCTGAGAGTTCAGGACGTGTTTAGGGCCCTTAGGGTTCATGTAAGGGTCTCCGTGTAGCTTTAAAAAAAGCTTGGGCCCGAAGTCTGCCCTAAACCCTTAAAGCCCTGAAAGGCCCAAGTAGATGCTAGTCGGTAGATGGACCCCCGGGTTATGCCATTTGAGGTTGCACACCTCTGTTTTGGGGGGCTTAGGGTTTGGGGGTCTTTTTTTGGGTGGGATTGTGGGGGGCTGTTCTTGGAGCGTATGGGCCCGTATGGTCATGAACAAATACGTCATAACACAGCTTGCCCAATCACCCTTCGTGAAACCTTAGACTGCTTGCACAACTTAGATTAACTTGCTACCTGTTTAGTGGGGGCCGCCTGAATAAAGTCAGATTGGCTGGGCTTTCAGGACACCCTGAGTGTTTGGGGGGTGCGCGGTGTGATCCTGAATTAAGGCAAAAGATCCCTTCCCCCTTTTACTAAACGCCCCCCTCCTAATTATGAAAACACTTTCCGGGAAATCCTGCCGAAACCGACCCCGCCTTTTAAACCCTATTCCCACTTAAGGGGGGGGGGGGGGGGTTCAGGGCTCCCAAAACCTGCAAGCCATCCAACATCCTGAAGCTCCCTTCCCTCCCTTCCCAGCCTAGACCCTAAACCCTCTGGACCCAACCATGACATTTAGATAAAAACTCCCCCCTAATAATAAAAACGCATGTCAGTTTTCTATTAGGGGGGGGGGGGGGGCCGTTTAATCTTAGGGGGCAGGGATTAGTCCCGGTGTCGTAAGACAACTCCAAGCGGCGCGCTTTTAAAATCATTTGCCGGGCATCTCCCGTTTAATTCGTATAAAAATCATCCCTTTTGAAATCATACAAACCCCCCAAAAACCGTGTAAAGAGGAACAAAAACAGCTTCGACTGCTCTGGTGGGTTGGGTGGGGCACACACCAAAGCAGGTAGAACATTAGGCTGTAAGGATATAAGGTTTTAGGGGTTTTAGGGGTTTTAGGGGTTGAAACAGGGGCTTTGGGCTGAGGTGGGTCGGTAGGTATCTAGGCAGATATCTGGGACTTGTATAGACGCGACTTGAACCTCTCCCTGTTTGGAAAATACATGCATCTAAAATTTTCACGATCTCTGTGGATACCACGCTCCTGTGCAGGCTCTCGAAGCCTTTGTGCGGGCCAAGCAAGTGGGAACCCCCTTCCGTAAACCCTA